AGTTGCATGTGACACATTTTTGCAGAATGCCAGTGATGCATTTTCTTGCTCCAATAATCCAGATGTACGGATAGCTCCCTCAGTGAAGACTCTACCTTGATGTTTGACTCTTTCATGGTAGTGGTTTATGAGCGAAGTAGCAACATGGCTGTGGCCAGGAATGACAAGTGGGTGTTTCTTGCCTATGTCAAGTGAAGCATGCTGGAGCAGACCCCTATCCGCAGGAGTTATATCTCATCAAGGATAGGGTTGAGCTTTCTCCGGGGGCTGTTTTTAGGAATCACTTCTCCTTTTTTCCAAACAAGACACTTCAGCTTTATATGCCTCTTTTTGCACACATCCAATGATGACAGCTTTTGCCTGTGCCAACACATCAGTAGTGTGAGGCTTGATACAGTGATGCCAACCACTGCATTCTTGTTTGGCTACAACTATGTTTTTGGAGATATTAATCAACTATTTGGAATGCAATTGTGATGTTTCAGGGGAGTAGTCAGTGTGTATTTGTGCAATAGTTACGCATTCAGGTGGTCTGCAAAACTTTTATACGCTTCCATAAGTATATCCTGCTCCGGCGGGGAGAAGTATGCGGCTCTGGTTGTCATGGTGAATAGGTGAATCTGTGATCAATCGCGGGGGTCTATTTAAGGAGCCAGGTGCGCGCACTTATCCAGGATTGCTTTCAGCTGGCTTGATTAATCCATTTCTTCTCATCCTGGATTAGCGTTTATGCAACCGAATAAGCCTGGACGCTCTTGTTTTGGATTCGTTGAGCTCAGGGGCCTATTCTTGCTCAACTTAGCGTGGTAGCCAGTGGTCTCACTAAACGGTCTTATGATGCTGGTTATCAACCTTGTAAGTGGATCCGGCTTTGCTATGCGCGTGCACGCATGTAAGTCAGAGCCCGCTGCATCTGACCAATCGCGAACATGGACCAGTCTGGAGCGTCAGAGCAGGCCGGAGAACGAAGGACAGCGTACTTTTTCAAACGAGGAGCAGGAGACGATCATGAGAAAGTATGAAGAATTCAAATCTATCATAAACCTCAAAAGCAACACTGTTGCCGCTGCAAAAGCACGGAAGGAATGCTGGCAGAAAATTGCAGACAGTCTCAATGCATAAGTGCAGTGCGCAAAAAAATCTTTGATGCCATTATCACCCAGACATAGCATTGTTCAACATGCGCTTTTAACATGCACCAGACATGTCCAATTCATTTCCAAGATGAATTCATTCATTTGTTCATTTATTTCCTTTTTTATTTGTTAAAGAGGGACAGTGTACATTAATGAACATTTTAAAAAGATAAAATGTAAATGGACCCAATTGTAGCCACAAGGCTAGTTTCCATTGGTAGTCCCCCTGCCAGAAGGAACATGGCTGCCTAAAAAGGTGGGAAATCAGCAACTACATAAAAACATACATATTACACAATATTTACAACATCAACATTACCCACCCGAAAGCACGCCAACCAACTAATGAGAACAAATTTGGTTTTCAAGTAACCCACCTCTTCAAATTTACTTTAAATGCTCTGTATGAATTGGACTCTCCTATATTTTGTGGTATTGTGTTCCAATCCTTGCCTGCCCTTCAAGAAAAAACTGACTGACCAAATACAGATTTTCTAAATGGGATCTCGCAGTCTCCTCTGGCCGCCCCTCTAGTACCACTGGTTGCTGGAGATCTAAACTGTATGAGGTTGCAGAGTGGGGGAGGAGCTACCCTATGATGGATATTATATGTAAGACAGCAGTTTTTGAAAAGGACAAGATTGTTCCAGCTTAATAACCTATATTTTTGAAGAATTGTACAATGATGAAAAGATCTTGGTTTTTTATCCAGAGTTTTGAGTGCTTGTTTTTATAGTGATATTAATGGAGTTCAAGTAGTGGGGTTTGCGGTGGACCAGGCAGGTAAACAATACTTAATATGGGACATTATAAGAGAAAACGTACAGTTTTGCCGCTTCTCTTGACATATGATTTCTGAGGTGCCTGAAATTTCCAAGTGTGACCTTAAGAATTTTGCTTACTTTTTCAACATGATGTTTAAAAGAAAGATTACTGCCTCACACAATACCTAAATATTTATATTCGTTTACAATTTGGATTCTTTGTCCAGAAATAAAAACATCAGGCTCAGTATATGATTTGTTTGTTTTGGAAAAAAACATAGCAACAGTTTTGGAGGTGTTAAGTTGTAAATGGCAACTGTTCAGCCAATTTGAGACTTTCACCATGACCCTTGTAAGCTGCAAAGCAACCTCTACTTGGTCCTTACCTTTGACAAAGATCACAGTGTCGTCAGCATACATAAGGACCTCACAGCCTTCACATACAGTTGGTAGGTCGTTGATATAAAGACCAAAAAGAATTGGGCCCAAAAGTGAACCTTGGGGGACACCTGCACTAAGATATTTAAAAGTAGATTTCGTATTTTGTATTTTAACACACTGAGATCGATTACTGAGGTATGATCTAAACCAATTGGAAGAGAACTGGGAAATATTAAATTGATCAAATTTAGACTGAAGAATATTATGGTTAACTGTATCAAAGGCTTTACGAAGATCTTAAAAAATTGCGCCAACTACACCCCCTCTATCCATTAGTGACTTACCCCTTCCGAGAAAGTAGACGGTTGCCGTCTCTGTTGAATGGTGGGCTCTAAAGCCATGTTGCATGGGATGGAGGAGCTGGCTAACATTGAGATGAGAAATTAGTTGGTTTGCTGCTAATTTTTCGATAACCTTGGACATAACCGGAGGATACTTATCGGTCTGCAATTTGAAACTAAATGGGGGTCAGCACTCTTAAAAATGGGTATAACCGCTGCTGGCTTCTTGTACTCTGGGAAACACCCCTAGCCTTGGGTGAATGAAATATTCACAATTTGAGTAATAGGTTTGATCAATGAGCAGGCAAGGTTCTTTAACATAGTTGAGTCCATTTCATACACATCTTTTGCCATTTCAGATTTTAATGAATCGATCACCTTTTCAACTTCAGTTTCAGACACTCTTTTAAGGCTGAAGATAGGCCCATTCAGCTTTGGTGCCTTAATATTATATTGCTTGTATAGAGGAAAACTATTAGAGATGGTAGCTACAGAATTTACAAAGTAGTGATTAAAGGCTTCGGCTACTTCCATCTTTTCATTTTTTAGAGTATCATTAATCATCAGTTCAATCTGTTTTTTAGCATTATTTTGTCCAGTTAATTTCTTTATTTGCTGCCATATTACTTTGGAATTTCCCTTGTTATTTACTATTATTTCAAGGAAGTAGTTTGCCTTGGCTTTTCTAAGTTCTCTAGTCACCTTATTCCTTAATGATGTAAATTTGTCTCTATCAGTCGTGAGTTTGGATTTCATTGATATTTTTAGGGCTTGATCACGCTCTTTCATCATTTGAAACAGGGTGTCATTTAACCATGCCAGGGAGGCTCTTTTATTCTTATTTCTAGACCTCTTTGAGAAGTCTTTAATAAGCTTATGTAGTTTATCAGTAAGGTGTTGGCTGGTATAGTCCAGATTATCAGAGTTACTTAGATCATCCCACTTGATACTCTGCACAGCATTTTTAAAATCTTCCTTTTTATTCTTATTATTCCATGTTCTGGCCAAAGATAGGACTTTTCTTTCCATTTACTTTTCTAGTCAGTAAAATCAAATTATGATCAGAAAGTCCAGTTATGAGGTTATAAGATTTCATTATTCTATCTGACATATTACTAAAGATTAGATCAATTTGCGTGCTAGATGAATTGGAGATTCTGGTTGGTCCATCAATTATTTGTGTTAAATTAAAACTGTCTGTTACTTGCTTAAATTGTTTTCGGGCGGATTTATCTAACCAGTTCACATTCACATCTCCAGAGGCAGGGCAAGGGTCCTTTGGGGCTCCAAGCAAGAAATTTGTGGGGCCCCCACCCCATCCCTGCACACTGAAAAAATTCATTTTTTGCAGACAATTTCTGGGACATTTGATATGTATACTGAAAATAATACTTTAGAAGAGATTAGGGGTTCTCAAAGTGAATTTCAGGGAGTAATAGAAATCCTTAAAACCCTACGCCTATCAATAATTGTTGTAAATTAACTGACACCAACACAATGTAAAATACGAGTTTTTTTTATTACAAAAAATACAAATCTGAATATTGTTAACAATGAAATAAATAGAAAAATAAAATTGCAACAACGTAGACACCAGTTGACGTGCAAGCGAATGATGAATAAATAACAGTAAATAAAAAAAATAAATGAATGAATAACAGAACAAACAAAAACCAAACAAAACAAACTTGACATGGCTTGTGCAAAACAGGGTACCCACAGGTCCGTTGTTCTAAAAATGTTGCTTACGAGCCTTAGCTTGTGCAAATGCTGTAACAAAGTCATCTAGATCCAAAGACCATCGCACATCAAGAATATTAGGGCATAACATTATCAATTAATGTGGAATAATGAACTTACAGTTGTCATCATCGGGGATGGGAGGGGGAACATCATCCTGGATGTGTTGGTTTTAAAAAAGACAGTAATGATCCTGAGGAGAGGAGATATTTAGACCCAAACATTCCAATTCACAGTTTTCATGTTCAATTACATTACATCTAATTGTGTCCTTCATGTAACACATAACGCCTCCACCTTTTCCATATTTACGATCATTCCTAAAAATGTTCAAACCGGGTACATTTATAGCCGCGTGCGGCCAATTTTCATTCAACCATGATTCAGAAATAGCTAAAAAATCCAGATTTGATTCATGTAGGAGATGCTGTATTTGCTCACACTTAAAGAGAATGCTTCTGATATTTATGTGACCACCTAACAGTCCTTTAGGTTTACTACATGCGTCCCAGATTAACCTAGCATTGTTTACAGTTTTGAAAACTTTTAATTTCCGTTGTTTGATTATCGCTTTATTGATGCGGCGATTAGATCTAATTGTCCGCACAATTCCAGTCTCCACATTCCCGCGAGTCGCATCAGTCGCTGTAAGTGCAGGATCGTTTCCCGAGCCACCAGTCGCTCCGTTCGCCACCTCCTCGCCTGGACCGCTCCAGGATGACAACCACGTCAGCCGCTGCCGCTTCCCTGGAACCTCTCCCCGAGCACCCAGCCTCCATGCCTGGTAGCCAGCAGCCAGCAGTAAGTCCAATCCCGTCTCCTCTCCCGTTAGCTACAGTCATTGCCGTTATGTCTCCCACAGACATTGCCGTTGGAGCGATAGAAATATTCGCGTTAGTTGGAATGCCGGCAAGCTCGATGGAAGTACCCCAATCCATCGCGCTTACCTGAGGAATCACAGCGGTGCTCCCGTCAGTGTTTTCCGGTACCTGTCGGCGTTGCAGGTCGCCATGTTCGTTACTCGTTTCCCATGTGGGAAACGGGCCGGGACATTGATGTATATCCATCAAAGGCATCAAAAGGCAGATGGCAATTATAGCTGCGTCGGCGTTGGGGCATTTGGATGTCCTATCATGTTTACATTTTTTTGTGTGATATGTAGGCCATATGAGCCTTTCATAAAGGTGGTCATCTGGAAAAGTAAGTGGGTCCGTGCAGTTCCTGAAAACTTGTGCACCAGAGTGCTCCTTGGACAATGCGAGCACTGAGGTCTATAGGATCCTCCAAGAATGGACAAGCCATTTTTCGAGAGAGCTCATTGGTCAGTGGGCAGGGTTTTTATACTCAGTGAGTTCAATCTGGAACCTAACCTGGTCCAGAGCAGGTTAGCCATTCAGCATATGTTGCCATGGAGACTCGCCTCGCTAAGAAGTGAACCCGAGTCGAAGAACAGGAAACCCCGAACTTACCCTCGAAGTTACCATGCTAAGCAGTAATCTTGCTTCGTAGGATAGGCCCCAGCTCAGTCACTTATCCTGGATATCTGAATCCTACTTTTATGCAACAAGCCCTTGGTCAAAGAAATTAGGCAGGAGGTCAAAAACACTGAGGCAAACACTAGTGATAAACCCTGGAACTCTGACACAATGGACAAGATGAACTGACACAGAGGGGAGGGAAGGCTGGGTTTAAATACACAGTGGAGTTAACAAGAGTGGACAATGGTGCTGTGAGAGGGAGAGGGCGACTCGTTGGGAGCTCCACAGTTTAGTATAGTTTAGGGACCTTGATGGCTACACAATGACAAGGATCACCTACAGCAGAAACATGCTACTAGACATCAGAGGAGTGTTACAAACTCACCGCGGGAGGTACTCGGATCCCATCTCCCTGATCCCTGAACTACGGCAGAAGAAGGGAGGCAGACGAACCGGTGTCCTGGTTCGGCTGAGGCGGCGTGCACACCATGCACTACTCCCTAGCATGCTACTGGCCAATGTGCAGTCGTTAGAGAATAAATTGCATGAAATGCGAGCGTGGATATACTTCCAGCATGACATCAAGATCTGTAATGTTATTTGCCTTACGTAGACCTGGTTGTCAGCTGGAGTACCGGATCATGCCATCGATATCCCGGTCCATCTGTCATTCGGGCAGACCGAGACATGGTTCTCTCCACGAGGAAAACGGGCAGAGGCAATTGTCTCTTGGTCAACCGAGCCTGGTGTGACCAGGGGAATATTGTGACAGTCGGAACAGCTGCAATCTGGAGTACATCATGTTGCAGTGTCGTCCTTGTTGGCTTCCAAGGGAATTTACCTCGGTTACCATCGCCGCTGTGTATATCCCACCACATGCCAACACAGACGTGGCGATAGAAGCGCTCCACACCGCGATCAGCAGGCAGGAGACACATCAGCTGGATACAGCGCTTGTCATGGCTGGAGATTTCAACCGGGCAAATCTAAAGAAAGTTTTGCCTAAACTTGCAATAGTTACAGAGCCCTTCCCCGTCCTGCTTTTGGCAAATCTGATCACTGCTCCATCCTGCTCCTCCCCGCCTATAGGCAGAGACTAAAACAGGAAGCCCCTGTCTATAGGACGGTACATCGCTGGTCAGACCAATCAAAAGGCATTCTTCAGGATTGTTTTGACAACACGAACTGGGATGCGTTCAAGGCTGCAGGATATCTGAACAACTAGACAGACACTGTCACCAGCTACATCAGAAAGTGCACAGAGGATGTTGTCCCAACAAGGAAAATAAAAATCATGTCTAACCAGAAACCATGGCTGAATACTGAAGTATGGACAGTTCTCCATACTCGGCTTGCAGCTCACAAATCTGGTTCTCAAGAGGAGTACAAAAGAGCACAGTATGCACTCAGGACAACTATCAAATGGGCAAAGAGGGAATACAGTCAGAGAATGGAGTCCAACCTAATCACTACCAACACGAGGCACCTATGGTGTGGACTCCAGGCTATAAGTGACTTTAAGGGGAAAGCAAACCAAACCCCACAAATAACATCTTCCCTCCCAGATGAACTTAACACATTCTATGCCTGGTTTGATTCCTCTGCTGGACCCACCAGCACGACTGGCCACCCGCTCACCTCCACTCTTGTGGGAGAACAGACCCAACCTCAACCCCCCTCCGTCACAGTGCAGCCTTTAACCATCAGTGAGGCTGACGTCCACCACTCCTTCCGTCGGATTAATCCACGTAAGGCAGTCGGCCCAGACGGCATTCCTGGACGTGTGCTGAAAGCCTGCGCCCACCAGCTGGCAGGGGTGTTCACAGGTATTTATGAGTCTCTCTCCCTCAGAACCGTCCCCACCTGTTTTAAGTCCAGCACTATTATTTCCATCCCCAAACAGCAGAGAGTCACCAGTCTCTAAGACTGGCGCCCCATAGCCCTCACCCCTGTAGCCAGTAAGTGTTTTGAGGACCTGGTCAAAGCATTAATATGTCCCATGCTTCCCCCCACCCTGGACCCTTTGCAGTTCACTTATTGGTCGATTAGGAGTACAGAAGATGCCATTTCACACATCCTCCATACTACCTTCTCCCACCTGGAGGAAAAGAACACCTATGTGCGAATGCTTTTCATTGATTACAGCTTGGCATTCAACACCATAGTACCATCTAGGCTCATCAGTAAGCTCTGGGACCTGGGTCTGCATCCAGCTCTGTGTGATTGAATCCTGGACTTTCTGACAGGCCGCCCCCAGGTGGTGAGAGTGGGTGACTACACCTCCTCTGCACTAACTCTGAGTACTCTTGTACTCTCTCTACACTCACGACTGTGTGGCTTGGCATTCCACAAACACCAATGTTAAGTTTGCAGACGACACGGTGGTGGTGGGGCTCATCTCTGAAGATGATGAAGCAGCTTACAGAGAGGAGGTAACCAACGTGGAGAAATGGTGTAGAGAGAACCACCTCCTCATGAACGTGTCCAAGACCAAGGAGGTCATTGTGGACCTCAGGCGGGGGAGGGACCCAAAGTCACCTGTCACCATCAGCGGCGCTGATGAACATTCATGAGAAGATGAAATGGGAAGAACATACATCTGTGGTGGTCTCCAAGGCCCAGCAGCGCCTATATGGACTCAGGCGTCTCAAGAAGTTTGGACTGAGTCCAAACACCATCAAGGCCTTATATCGAGGGTCCCTGAGAGTCATCAAGGACCCCACACACCCCATTAGAGACTTTGTATTGCTGCCCTCAGGGAAGAGGTACCGAAGCATCAAGGCAAGCACAAGTAGACTGAAGAACAGTTTCCTTCCCCAGGCTGTAAGACTTTTAAATAAGTGTCTGAAATGAACTTTTTATGGTGTCGTGACCTTGCGTACTGACACTAGCTCTTTTAATTTGTTTTTAGACTTTTAGAAATGTATAGCACTGTTACTTATTTATTGTTTTTATTCTACGGAGCACCCAAACCTATGCTTTTCACAGTGCAATGTACTTGCACATAAATCTTGAGACAATAAACATCTTGAATCTTGAATCTTGAACTAAGGGGGGACACATCAGGGTAATCAGGGGAGCAGGTTACACAAGGACGTGGAAGTTAATTGACCTGAAACAAGAGACAAGGGTGAGTATCAAAATAAAACAGGAAACACAAGAAACATGAGGGGTGAAAATAAACAACTTAACTAATCAGTAGATGTGACATACTGTTGTCTTGAAGACTTAAAAACAGGCAACTGGACTGTGTAGAGTTGAGAAGACGTTTCGCCTCTTATCCAAGAAGCTTCTTCAGTTCTAAAAGTGCTAGTGTCAGGAGCAGATATTTATCTTTCTGGAGAAGGGGGACAGTTAACGACTGGGTGGAGTTGAAAAGAATGGGTCGTAGAAACCCATCTCTCGGTGTGTCCCCCCCCCCAAGTCGTTATCCTGAAAGGGTCGTTAGCGACTCCTATCATGTGACCACATGACTCATGCCACCTGAGTCATGTGGTTCCAGGTGTGAATGTTTGTGGAGCTTCCTGGGGAGAGAGCTGAGAACTGCATTGTAAATGCCAGAGAGATTGTGCCTGAGTCCACCCCCTCTGTTCAGAGAAGGTTTCTCCAGCCTGGTAAAGATGGCTTCTTTAACTCCTCTTTCAAACCATCTGTCTTCTCGAGCCAACACCTGTACATCGCTGTCCTCAAAAGAGTGACCCGTATCCTTCAAGTGAAGGTGGACAGCTGAGTCCTGACCTGAGGAAGTGGCTCTCCTGTGTTGAGCCATGCGCTTGTGAAGCGGTTGTTTAGTTTCCCCAATGTACAGGTCTGAGCATTCCTCGCTGCACTGGACAGCATATACCACATTACTCTGTTTATGTCTCGGTGTTTTGTCCTTGGGATGGACTAGCCTCTGCCTTAGTGTGTTACCAGGCTTGAAATGAACAGGAATGTGGTGTTTGCCAAAGATCCTCTTGAGTTTTTCCGACAGGCCTGCAACGTAAGGGATTACAGTGCTCTTGCCTCTCTCCTCCCTTTCCTGTTCAGTGTTATTTCTCTTTCTGTTCTTCACAAAGGCCCACTTAGGGTATCCACAGGTTGTCAGGGCATTTTTGATGTGCTTCTGTTCCTTTTCCTTACCTTCTTTCTTCGTGGGAATGTTCTCGGCCCGGTGGTTGAGTGTTCTGATGACACCCAGTTTGTGCTGCAGAGGATGGTGGGAATCAAAAAGTAGATATTGATCCGTGTGTGTTGGTTTCCTGTACACTTCAACGTTGAGACACCCATCTGCCTCCAAGTGTACAGCACAGTCCAAAAAGGCCAACACTTTGTCCTTGACATCTTCACGGGTGAACTTGATGTTGCTGTCCACTGTGTTGATATGGTCAGTGAAGGCCTCTACTTCATGTGTTTTGATCTTAACCCAGGTGTCATCCACATATCTGAACCAGTGGCTAGGAGCGGCTCCCTTGAAAGAG